CTTCAGAAAGCCATCAGCAAGTCTCAGTGCAAATTAATTTTGTTCTACAACTAAGATCTTCCATGAGCCGTATCGTGATGACTGACAGAGTGAATTTCATTGTAAATTTTAAAAGGGAGGGAAAAAACCACTTCCGTGTAGATGATCTTAATTACCAAGTGGTTTGTAGGTCTGTTTCCCTCCTCACAGAAAACATGTGGGTTGCTTAGGGTTCTCTTTCATAACACTGACATGCCTCTTTCTCAATAGCGGTTTTTGCTTTCCACTTTGTAATGTTCCTTCCCATCTTTCCCACTGTCCCACAACCTGTGAGACACACAGGCAGTTATTATCATCCCCTTTCTCCAAGTATGAAACTCACGGAGACCCAGGTTCAAATGCCAGCTGTCATTCACCGCCTGCCACTCACCCTCTCTGAGCCTCACTTCCCTCGACACTGAGCATGACCACAACACCCGCCTCACCGGGCTATTATGGGTATTGGTTTAATGCGGCATTTCCCAAGTGACCCAGATGATGAGAATCCTCTGGGTCTCGTTAAAACAGACTCCCAGGCCCCAGTCCAGAGCTACTGAACCCGAATTGCCAGGGATGAGGCTGTCTGACAAGCCCCAGGGATTCTTATCAGGGAAATCTGGGGAATGCTAGGTTGATCTCTATAAAGCATCGTGTTGTGTCTGGCACTAAGCAGTGACTATTGCCTACTACTTACATGTTCAATCTTTGAAATGGGGATGATGGCCAGACAGGGTTATTAAGAGAAACAAGCAAAATCCTGTGCCACGTCCCACAGTAAGTCCTAAATCTATGTTGCTGTCCTGGCCTCACTGTCGGTCAGGCCTCTTTCATGCTGAAATGGGACCATCCAGAGGCTCTCTCCAGGTGACGTGCCTTCATCCCAGGCCTCCGCCTGCCCAGCCCAATACCCCCAACAGGAAATTCTCATTTTCCAAATTCCAGAGGCCAAGCCTCACTTCACCAATGTGTCCCAGGCCCTTCCCTGTACCAGTCGCTGTGGCCAGGGTCACTTTCTCACCCCAGGAACCTGGTGGGTGACTGTCAGCCCCACCTGAACTTGGAGAATGGGGATGGGCCATATCCAGGTGAGCCTCTGCGGTGGTTCCCGTAGCGTTGTTGCCAGAGCAAGAGGAGCAGATGCTTAGCAGGCAACTCCGCAGATGTCCCCTGCATCAGCTCCCCGTCAGTCTGCAGCCTGCGGACGCCCCATCAGGCCTGAATCTTCGTTTCTCTCGGGCCAGCACATTCAGAGCCCACCTTGAGGACCTCCACCCGGCTGATTCAGCCTCAGGCCTGCCCTCGTCTGTCCAACGCTTTCCCTGCCCCACTCACCCCTGGGCCCAGCTCGCCACAGGGGCCTGTCCAAGGCTGGTCCAGGGACTCCGACACCCTTCTCCAGAGCTGCTTATTAGGTACCCACTGTGGGAATCCTTCCAACCATGAACACTGAGTCTCTGAACCAGGATAAAAACAGCCTTTGCAAGTCAGCAAATGAGACAACCGAATTGCTCATCTCCCTTCCCATCTGCCTGGCTTTGAACACAGTGATAAGAACAAGGTCTCCAGCGTCAGGCACAGGTTTGAAGCTTGGCTGCCACTTACTTGCTGGGCTAGTCATCTCCTTGTCTGAGACTTGGTTTCATCTATGAAATCAGTGAGAAGATAAGGGAAGTGAAGGATGAAAATTATGACGGTAGGAGCTCGTAATCCAGAACTGGCACCATTTCCCTTCCAGGCACTCAGCACCAAGCAGTGCCCTTCTCAGGGACGACCAACCTGGCACTACTGGGAAGCCAAACCCACTGCGAATAGTTAAAAACAAGGATGCATTCCAAAGTCACGTAACACACAGATGTGCTCCGGCGCTCACAGCACCCTGTCCACCCAAGGCTTGGCTGTTCTTCCTGAAGACGCTACCGTGTATCTACTCAAAGCTGGCCTCCCTCAACCAGTGAGCCGCGTGAGATAGGGTGCAGAAGCCCAGGAATGGAGTCCTGGGGTCCAGGATGGGCTCTGCCACTGCCTTGCAGTGTGGCTTTGGGCACATCACTTACCCTCCCTGGATTTTAGTTTCCTCTTCCGTCAGTAACAGGGTTGACTGATGACTGGGTGGTTTCTGATGGCCCTTCCCTCTCGAGGGTGCATCCTAGGACATTGCTGGCACTGAGTGGGGAGACCTCACTCACCAGGTGTGCTGGGCAAGGCGAGCTGTGCTCCCACACAGCCGGCTCACACAAGTGAGTCTCAGGGAGCAGGGGACACTCTACTGCAGGTGGGCGGGCTGGTTCTGGAACCACACACCCCTGGTTTATTCCTGATGCTCTTTTCTGGCTGCATAACCCATGCCGACCATGTACAGGGTAGTGGCACGACCTAGGTGGCTGAGACCTCAGTATGAACGAGATGCCGCATGCGGAGCTCGGCACCTGGCACACAGCTCAGTAAAGGTCCGCCCTTACTACCTCTCCCGCCTGGCTGAGCTCCCTCTGCTCCTCGCCACCCATGACTAGGTTCGACAAAAACAGTCCACACCTGGGTTTCACCCTGGCTCCACCGCTTCTGACCTCCAGGTCACTGGATCTCGGTTTTCCTCATCTATAAGATGGGTACAATAAGACCCTAACTCAAGGGTTGATGTGAACGTTCATTATGATTGACAGACAGGTTTTTCCTCAGTCCCATCAGCATTAACCTGGTCATCATCATCTATTCTACCTTACACTTTATAGCACTTATTTCCATATCTACGTGTCAACTGATCCCTAAAACCCCCATAACAGGAGCCAGAAAACCCGAGGCCAGGCCCGAACAGCTCACTTTACCCCACTCCCACGATCTTTCACCAGCTGAAAGGCACAGAACACACCTGCCTAGTCCGTCCTCAACATAGCACCGGGCCTCTGCAAGGCCACCACCCCGTCCTACACATGGAGTCAGGGAGGTCCCCGAGCAGTTCAGTGAGTCCCGGGACACCACCCAGAGGGTGAGGTGTTGGTCTCTCCTGAAAAGCACCTCACCTGCTGGAACTGCACAGGAGCTAGGGCTCACTGTGGGGGTCAAGGCTGTAAGGCTGCGAATGAACACATGTGCATCTGTATAAACGACCACAGCACACAGTATAACCTTCTGGAAACACGGAGCCTTGCACGCAAGTCTCATCCACCCTTGGTGCAATGACACTACTTCCAAGCCTTTGTTTTGAGGAATCCACTCAAAGTGTAACAGAACGCCCCCCGTGGTGGTAAGCTGGAAATAACCCGAACATCTAGTGATTTGGTTAGGATGAAGCATGAAAGATAGTTCATGGGCTGCTACACAGCCTTGTTAGATATATGCTTTTGAAGACCCTTTAGATGCAGGGGAGGGGAATGTCTGGCCTGCGGGCCGTGTAGGCCCACGAAATCGGTACCAGCTAACATCTCACAGAGTCAGCCTGCCCAAATACAACAGGCTAATTTTTAAGATGATAATGTTGTATAGCCTGAGAACGATGTAAATATCCACATGGCCCTTGGCAGAAGAAAGGTTCCCCACCCCTGCGAGGTAGAAATAAATGATCATAATAACGGTAAATAAAAAAAGAAACAAATTTGTTTTATACATTCCTGAGTTTTTCAAGCACATATTCTTTTTACAGGCTGAACAACAGGACAACGAAAGATACTCAGAATAAAGTCCAGTCCCAAGGTTGGCCTAACTTTCTGGTATTGTTTTGTGGTTTGGTTTTTTTTATATTTATCTTTTTACATTCTTCCCCCTCCCAAACGAAGCTTTTAATGAAGAAAGCACACCACTGAATCTTGCTTTGAGACCCAAAGTGTCCCAACTTACTATGGGTCGCACATCCAATGAGAAGAGCTTTTACAGGTGAGCCCCTCCGGCCGGCTGGCTGTCTGGAATGCATCTTAGATCAATGGCCTGTTGGACTCAAAGAAGCCATCCCAAAAAATTTGTATAAAAAGATTTATTGAAATTTATCAATGACAAACAGACATAAAACTCAAAAGTTTGGCTCTTCTGAGGGGGAGGAGAGAAACCGGTGCAGATGTTCTTTTGTACAGATGAAACACGGGCTAGGAAACAACACGTCACTTCTAAAGCAATCCAGAAGAGGGACATGAGAGCAAACCTGTACATTCACTAGGAATTTGCAGTCATTTCAGATTGCCACTAGGTAAGAAAATACAATTTTGCGTTAGTTTTTCCGTGCTCAGGTGTATGAAAAAAAAAACCCAGCCGACATGCAGCAACACCTCCTGCGCTTAGATTTGTAAAAACGGTCTAAGCACAGAAGTATGTGTGGAAGAATTCTCTAGTCATTTTGTAAAACAAAGCGTTCTAATATTTTACAGAACAAGAGAGGACAGTTTTAAAAAAATCGTTTAAAGAGGCTGACGTTTAAGGGTTTGCTTCTTCTCTTTTCATTGTAATCACCAAATCCGTTTTACTCACGAGCCTGCAGTTTTCAGCTCGCTGGCTCAGAGCTCCTAAGAGTGACATCAGAATCTTCTTCGTAGAACTAAGCCCACCACCATCTGTGAAGAGGGAAAGGGAATGAGAGACGGGGACCGTCCCCCAAACAGTGCCAAAATACGCCTTTAGGTTGCTATTTAAAACCAGGGCGTTGGATGCCTCTAGCAGGCCCGAGAAAGGCAGAAATCACGTGAACCAGAACAAGAGGTAAGATGTGGCTGGTGCTCAGCCCCGACTGGGCTTCGAGAAACCACACTGAGGCCAGCCACGGCCTTCCAACCAACTCGGGAGACTGAGGAAATACCAGGAAATGTAGGAGACCTCCAGACCATCCTCGTTGAGAGTAAGGAACAAATGCTCACTTGGTGTGTACTCGGCTATTGCAATTACAGGGACAAAAACAGACACCAAAAAAAAAAAAAAAATAGGGGAAAAAAATAAAAAGAGTGGCAGTAAAAATAGTATTTTATTCCACCCCCTCCCGCCCACCCTCTCCCCTCAACCCCCAGTACACTTTCCCCCTCTCGTTCCCACAGCAACGTTACAATCAGAAAAAAATAAGTTTCGGGGGCAGGATTTGGGGGGGTTAGGGTAAAAACAGTCAAATCACAATAGGAATTTTTCAAAATAGGTTATCCACTTAGTCATCTTCTTCTCCCTCATCTTCAGGTTCTCGTTTTCGCTTCTGACCCCTTTCTTCTTCTGGAAGAGTAAGGAAAAGATTAAACACTCGTCCTACCCCTAACTCAGTCCACCCAATGGAAAACCAGGGGACCATATCTCTAGGAAGCTTTGCCATCCCGGCAAACTGAGGCAGGACATCTGCAAGCCAGGCAGGCACCTGCAGCCTCAGATGGGCATCTTCTGCCCACTGTCAGGTCCTGAGGACCTACACCATCTAGTGTCAACTGAAGGGGCCAACCGCTTACCAGCCAAGAGTAAAAAGGCTGCCATACCACCAAGATGTTCTTCATCTTCCTCATCGTCTACTTCCCAGTCGTTATAACCTTCTTCATCCTCGGAGGAGAGAAGATGCACGCCAGACATCAGAAGTGCCCCCGGGCCACAGACCTGCTGAGGAAGCCACTTTCCCTGACACTGACCTCAAAAAAGGCAGGGGTCGTCCCCAGCCTCTCAGAGCCCCACACTATCTCAGGATGAGCCTAAAGCAGACATTCTTTTGCATCAAGGACCCCTTTATAATTCTAGAAAGCTTTAAACCCCTCCCCTAGAAAATACCCCTACCACATACAATATTTGCAAACAATGTCAGGAGTTTGTGGGTTCTATCCCTAGGGCAAGAACTGATCTGAAGTCCCTACAACTCAGGTAGCTTTCTAATCCGCTGCTCTTTTAGGAGAACAAGTTCCCAAGCCAACTCTCTGTCATGTAAAGTAGGACATCTTTTCATCTATCCTCAATCTAGTTTTGGCTTCAAGGAAGACCCCAGTTTCAGCAAACCCAGACTCCGCGGGCAAGTCCAACCCCGCCTTATGCAGCTGTCACCATCTTGCAAACTTGGACCTCTTGGAGGGGAAGATAAATTCATGAGCCCATGAGGACATCATCCCAGCTCCGTGAGATCCAGCAAGATGTGTGACTTGCTTTATGCTGCTTCTGATGGCACATGTTAGTTAAATCTCTGCATGTTGAACTGTTTCTAAAGCATTGGGTAGCCCACTGTTTAAAAAGAACTTGATGATAGACTTCTTTTTGTCAAGGGAAATACCCTTTTATAATGTCACGCACGAGTGCCTTAATCAGTCTGTTTGCTGAGACTTGTGTGTGTATGTGGAAGCTCTCTCTTACTAGAAGCTGGAATCTGCAGATGGTCAACGAGACCACACACTCACCCACACCCACCAACCCTGCAGCTGCAGCTCCTGTGGCAGGAAGACCAAGACAAAAAAGTCCATTTGTCAACATGACACTGCCCTGTCCTAGGGGGACCTGTCTTCCCAAGGCGTCAGCAGTGAGCCTGCACCCAGGGAGAAGAGCAACCCCACTGCAGACCAGGCAGAAAGCGAGCAGATCTCACCGGCTCCTCTTTGCCTGGGCTGAGCCGGCGGGGAGATCCTGCCCCAGCGGGTCTGTGTGCCGGCGGTGTCTGCATACTCAACGCAGAGACAGAATGGGGAGAAGCCAGGTCCCTGACTACACTGTTATCATTTTAAACCTCTCCACGTCTAACTTTTATAATCAGCAAGAGCTGATACAGAATTTTAAACAAATCATGGAAAATAACTGCTATAGAAAGACAAAGAACACCCAAACACAGGACCCAGCACACCGAGCCGCATCTCAGAGAAGGAAGGGTGAGAGCCTAGAACAGTAAGTGGCCAAACATCATTTTTGTCAGACACTGTCCTTAAGTGTTTACTTATAAATTACTTTATCCTCTTAACAATCCAGAGTTGATCCCTATTTATAATCCAGGTGCCTATTTCACCGATGAAAAAAATAAAAGGCTCAGATAGGTCAAGGAATTTGTCCAGAAACACACAGTTAAATTTCTGTGCATTATTACCACTCACAGACAAGTCACAGAACTTGTCAAAAAACTAGGAACCACCCAATGTGCTAGGAAAAGGTACTACTTCCTTCCACTGTGTGCATGAGACCCATGTCACTCTGATTTGGGACCCAGCAGTGTCTTCACTACCCATCAATTAGTTCAAGGCAGTGTTTGATTTTCCCTAGTGCACAGTGGGTGCTCAGTGAATTAACATTTGAATGCAGAAAGGCAGAAATGAGAGCCAGGCTTACCCCAGCAGGTGCGGTCCCCTCTTTACCTCCTCCAGAATCCCCTCCTACCCACTCCTAATCCAGCCTCTCGGGGCTTGCTACGAGTGAGGCCTCTCCCAAACCAGCCCAATGGAGTTCCTGAAAGGGACTCGTTTCCCCAGCCAGGACTCCTGAGCGGCCAAAGGCTGGTCACTGAGGCATTTAATGGGCCTGACTCAGAGGCAGCAAGCAAGAGGGACTCAGGGAGATGGTGCTCCCACCCAGCTCAAGCACTTACCTCTTCCTCTTCACTCACGTCCTCCTCTTCACTTTCGTCCTCTTCTTCCTCATCCTCTTCATCTTCCACTAGCTGAGCATCCTCATCATAATCTTCCTCTGTGCAGTGGAAATGGGGACAAATGGACGTGGCAGTGAGCTGCCTCCTCCCTCACAGCACAGGCCCCAGGCTCATGGGCCTGGCAGGGTGGTGCAGTCCTCAGTGTGCTCCGTGTGGGGCCCAGGACCCTCACACCCCCACCCAAGCCCCAAACCTGGATGCCTTAAGGTGACTGAACACATCCTAAAGTGACCTAAAAGATAAGCACCCTAAAGTGGCCGGAAGGATAAGCCTGCCTCCCCCACCTTTACAAAAATGAACGATCTTTTGTGGAGGTTGAGACTACAGAGAACTTGAAGGATCAGAAGAACAAGTCACAGGGCCTAGGAAAGCTGAGAAGTCAATTCATTTCGAAAGAGCATCTATCTCTGGCCAGTTTGGCTCAGCGGTTAGAGCATCGGCCTGCAGACTGGAGAGTCCCGGGTTTGGTTCCCGCTAAGGGCACCTACCTTGGTTGTGGTTTGTCCCAGGCCCTGGTTGGGGTTGTGTGGGTGGCAGCCACTCGATGTATCTCTGTCACATCAATGTTTCTCTCTCTTTCTTCCTTCCTCTCTCCCTCCTGCTCTATCTGAAGATAAATCCTCAGGTGAGGATTAAAAAAAAAAAAGAAAGAGCATCTAGCCAAACTTCTGGCTTTAAAGAAATCTGAGGCAGAAGGGAGAAGTGACTAGTTTAAGGTCACACGCCAATTAGTCCAGGCCTGAAAATCTGGTCTCAGGACTCTAGCCCTGTATGCTGCCTCACGAGATGTGAGAACTGAGGCAAACAAGGTGCATGAATATCTTGCAACATACTCCCATCTAACAAGGAAAAACAGAATCTTGGTCTGAGTTAATCAGGCAAATGTTTCCACTGTCAACTTGACTCTGGCCACGAAGACCTGCAGAAGAGCCACATTGTGCTGGTGACATGGGAAGAGGAGAGGACGTGCCCTTTCCTTTCCCTCCTTGCAACCCTGGCTCCTCACTGCACTGCCAGGGAAGCTACCTGCAGCCTCCACTTCCCCAGGCCCCTGGGCTCCGGAGTCCAGACCTCCAAGTCCTGGACTGTGGCCAGGTGGGCTGCGGCCACCAGGGGGCTCCACAACCTCTCCAGCTCCCTGACTGGACAGTCAGATGAGGAAAGAGAACCCTCAGACCACACCCCCCCTTCCTCAATCCGCTCACCCCTCTCTGGGACAGTGTCTGAGTCTAGGGTCACACTTGACACTGTAGACTTTCATTCCCAGTGGGACTTTGGAAAGCAGAGGGGAAAAAAAAATCAAAGTAAGGATTCAGCTAGAGAGTTTTCAAAAAGTTACTATACAGTTAGAGTCTCAGGATGTTTCTCTCGGGCTCATACAGTTCTTTTAGGGGAGTCCCTAATGACACAGATTAGGGACACTGGTAACACAGTAGACAGCCCTACCGCCCTCCGCAGGTTTGGGAAGAAGTCGACAGCCGTACCCTCAGCAGCTGGTGGGGACCTCCCCCTCTGTAAAGCAGGCAGAAACCCCAGGCCTGCCCTGGCCTTCCCCTCAGCCACCCACCATCCTCCTCCTCCTCCTCATCGTCCAGGCCCTCTATAAAGCCCTCGGCGTCTGAATCGGGGGCCTCCTTTTCGTCCTGGTCGTAGCCATCGAGATACCGGAGTTGTGGGAGGAGCTTGAACACGTTTTGTCGGTAGTTGTTCAGGTTGGTTACCTCACAATTGAAAAGGTCTAAGATCTTGAGGTTTTCTAACTTTTTCTGCAAGCAGAAAAATAAAGTCAACAGTGAGCGATTGTGGGAGGCAGGAGAGAAAGGGTAGTGGGTAACAACCTGGAAAACAGGTGTGGACGGAGGGAGACGGTGAAGAGCTAAGGCCGCAGGGGTAAAGAAGCTGACTGGGTCCTGCTCGGCCACAAGGTCCACTCAGACATGTCACCCTGGCGACGGGCCTCAGTCTCTTCACCTGCAAAATGAAGGCTTGGACTTTATCTTTGAAATCTTGTCCAATGCCAACACTTTTATTCTGTAATTACAGCTTTGCCTCTACAGTAACCAGCTTGAGATTAAGGTGAGGCTTTGCTGCCTGCCCCTGTGACTAAGGGGCCAGAAGTGAACTAAAAAGGCGACAGGCTCCAACAAAATGAAGTCCTGCTTCTTATAACGGTAACAGGAGTCCACACAGCACTTTGCGTATTAACTCAATTCTCCGCAGAAGCCCAAAAAGGTGGAAATCATTTTTCACTGGTTTTCCAGCTGAGGAAGCAGAGGACTGGGGTTTGACCAGGCAGCCCGGCTTCACACCTGTGCTGACTCTGCAACGCTGTCTGTCAGACAGGACCAGAGAAAAACCGATGGAGGATCCAGGCTTTGTCCGTGGTACTTAACACACTTGCTTTGTCAAAGCTATCTTAGAGGGTTCCAGCCCCTATTGTTCCTCTTCAGTGCCTGAGGAAACTGAGGCCCAGGAAGGGAAAGGGTCACACACTGAGCAAGAAACAGCTGCACCTGGACTTCCTACCTGGCATGTCGTCAAGGCACAGGTACAAGAACACCCTGTCCCTGGCCCAGTCCTTGTTCCACACCTAAAGCCACTGTCCCGCAGGGTCGATGTCAGGAGCTAGGGTGCTCTCTCGAGAACTCAGGATAGAGAACTGTTTGTTCTCAGCAGAGGGTCAAGGGAAGGGAGGGACTCTGGGCTATGGGCTGGTGGGTAAGCCCAGCACCCCAACCAAAGCAGTTTCCCGCCCTTCGGAGATGAGTGTGACACATTAGTCACACTGATAACTAGGGAAGAGGAAGCTACAAAAACATGTGTGGTCTGGGCGGGAGGAGTGTGTGTGTATATGTGTGTGTATCTGACCTCTAATCATGACTAATTCAATCTGATCTCTAATGATGACCAATTCACAGTGTTTTATACACTCAGCCCCTCACCTCCCAAACACATACATATAGACCTTCAAACATTTTTACTTTTGTTATGAAATTAAGACTTTCAGGTATATCAAAATAGTTTTGCTTTCCCCTAGATCAGGGGAAGACTTGAGAAGAAGCTCCGTGGGAAGCATCTTCCAGTGGCTGACCCCAGTGCCACAGATGAGCAGAAAAAGTGTGAGCTTCAAACATGCCAGCTTCCTGCTCTGTCACCTGGCCCATCCGCCAGCCCTCCTCAAACGTCCACAGAGGGCAAAGAGTGCTTTTTGGGCAAGAACCCTACAAACCCAGCTGAGGAATGCCCCAAGCTCCACCCTATAAACACAGAAAAGGGAAACTTGGCACAAGCTCCTCAGGGCCTGTCCCTGATTCTAAGGTACATGGCTTATGAAGTGACTCTTAGGTCACTTCAATATATTTACAATAAGTATGTTTACTTTGTGTGCTAGTATTGTGTTTTTCAAAAAAAAAAAAGTCTATTACTGAATCAGCAACACATCTTACAGTTGACCTCCTGAAAAATCAAGAAGACAGTCATCCAGATCCTGCTTATGTAAAAACTTATTCTGACCATGACTTGCCCTTTCTGGCCAGTAAATCGTGCAGTTTGGGGTGTGCTCAGCTCCAAGGGGACAGCAAAGGAAGGCCTGCATGAGGCCCCCAGACCACATACTCCTCTGCCATCCCAGGGGCCAGTGTCAGGACCAACCCCTCTCCCACTCTTCAGGGACCAGCCTCGGGCCAGTGACCCAAGGAGAAAATAGGTGGGCCATCTCCAGGGTCAGCTTAATTCCTGGATGGATCCTCCCTCCCTAAAGAGGCTGTGACAAGGAGCCTGAAGAAATGACAGCTCGAGTTTTCCAAGCGAAGCAGACTCTGCCCAAGGAACAGCACTAGGCCGGAAACTGAGACCAGGCTCCTATTCTTCACCTGACTGCCAGTCTGGCTGTGTGACCTTGGCCAAGTTACTTTACTTCTGTAGGCCTCAGTTTCTCTATAGATGAAGCAGAAGTAGTTGCTCAAACTCTATCTCATAGTACACAGCGAGAGTTCAATGAAGTCAAAAAAGTAAAATAAGTGGAAAGAAAAAGACACCAACTCAAGTGTAGCATTCCCTGCTATCATGTCAGCCCCGCCCACCTCCCCCCTGTGGAGAAAGGGAAGGACCCAAATGACTCACCAGTGGCTCTATTGTGCCGAGGTCTTTAATTTTGTTGCCACTTAAATTTAGATGCATGAGGTTCGGACACTTTTCTGCCAATACTTCCAGGCCCCCTGAGATTCTGTTATCGCTTAGTTCAAGCTAAACAAGGCAGAGAAATAAAAAGCAGAAACAGCTCTTATAAAAGGAAGGTGCTCTGAAGACAGCAGGGAAGGGTAAGTCGCCTCGGGGAATCTTAGGCGCATGGGGCAGTGGCTGGCTGCACCTTCAGTATCGCTCCCTAAACACAAAGTGATGACCCTTCCTCCTCCCCACCCCCACCCCCTACACGAGGACACACACATACACACTCCTACACTCTATTTACCTTCTTAAGTTTGTTTAACTTTGGTAAGTTTGCGACTGAGGTGAGGCCTACGTTGATTGTACTTAAGAACTCCAGTTCTTCAAATTCATTTGTGAGGCCTTTGATTTTGCCTTCATTAGACCGACAGTTGTCCAGGATAAGCTCTTTCACCTGGAAAGGGAGGGACGGTGTGAACGGAGGCAAGGAGCGGGCCGAGGCAGGAGAAGGGGTCAGGCCTCCGTAGAGGGCAGGGAGCGAACCCGGGAGCAGCCACCATACACTGAAAACACCCTCTGGAGCCGGGCTGCATGTGCCCACCCTGCTCTTTCTGCCTGGGGTCGGGCTGAGGTGGGGAGCTGCAGAACCAGAGGCCACTCCAGACGGGGGGGCGTGGCTGAACTGCAGAAGACAAGTCACTGAGCCCTGCTGCCACTGGCAAGGGGGGCGACCTCATTTCAGCCCTACCATGCAATAATGCTACAGCCTCCGATCCGAGCTCTACTGTGTGTGAGGGGCCTGAGCCGCACCCACACCCATTCATGGTTCAGGCCTAACCTGGCTCGCGGCCAGCTCCTAATTCCCGTCCTCAGTCCCTGGGTCCCCTTCCCCTCCATGGGTCTGCGACCTTCCTGCTGGCATACTCCCTCCCTTCTTGCCACCAGTCATAACCTGTCCACCTGGCCTGGGTTTGTCACTGTGGTCACTGCTTGGCATACCCCAGGGTAGGGACAGCCAACTAGGGACTCCTCCAACTCCCTATTCGCTAGACCAATGCTGTCCTCTGGAACTTCCTGTGACGAGGAAGACCTTTGCACTGTCCAAGAGGCGCACCTTCAGCCATGCGGGCCAACTGAGCACCTGCAATGTGACTAGTGAGACCGAGGAACTGAGCTTTAAATTTTTTTGTTTTATTAATGTAAGTGTGAAGAGATACATGTAAGCTATCATATCAGATATCATGGCTCTCAACTCTGCCCTTCAGGGTTACCGAGTAGAAACGGAAGGAGAAAATGGAAATCCACAAACCAGGATGAACCCCTAATAAAATGCTGAGGTCAACAAAGTCAGAAAGTTGGTCTTTGGAGGCACCTCTGTGGCTCTGTCCTCCGCCCAACTCTCTGGAGGCAGTTTGTCAAAGTAGAGGTCTTTGATTCTCTTCTCTTCTAGGCTCCTCTCCTGGGCCCCGAATCCTTTGTTTCTAATGAGGTACAAGACTGATAAAAAGTTACCCTCTCACTGGGTTGTTAGAAGGTAGACTTTGCTGAAGGTGAGATACCAGGTTTCAGGAGAGATGGTAGGGAGACGAGCTCAGGAAGAGTAATCATGTCTGTGGCCTGAACTAACCCAGGGAGTCAACCATTGAGGCCAGAGCACTGGCCCTCCAGGCAGATGCTCAGAGTTACCCACTCCTGTCCCTGAACAGCCTGATGGTCCCCTGGCCTCCCAAAGCTGGCAGGCACCTTAAAGGTGATCCCTCCTGGCCACACCTGGTGCCTGACCGGCCTGTTCCCCGCAGCCTCCAGGAAACATATACTGCTGATCCCTGGCATTTCTCACCCACGGGTCCCACGGTACAGGCTTGTCCTTTTGAAAAGCAGCCCCACACTGTCCAAAGGGTCATTCCTGACCCTCAGAGACTTTTCTTCTCAGAGATAAGCAGATGAGCCTTCTAACTTGTCTGCCAGGGCTGCCCCTCACCCTTCCCAGCAACTGGCCAATTTGCTTAACTTTTCCCGGCAGGGTGTAGGCTGACCATCTTGCCACAGTTCTCCAGGTGCCCCTCCTATTGGGGCATCTCTGGGTCAAATGCCAAATTGAAGGAACAGACATACAGCAGGCCTGCAGTGCCCCTCCCCAGTCCACCCTTGTCAGTGGGCAGACTGGGGGAGCTCAGGGCACATCTGGGACCCAGGAGCCTACAGCTGTCCCGCTCTCTTCCTTCCTGGTGGAGAGATGCATGCGGTCAGCCCAGGACAGTGGGGATTTGCAAGGAGGGGCAAAGCCAGGCACGGCATTCACAGCTCCCAGCCAGGAAGCTCTGGGCCTAGGCACTGGCACTAAGGCCCATCTTTTCCTGTCCTTTCCCACTCTCTCAGTCCCCAAGAGAGGCCAGATGTACAGGTCAAGTCACCTTCTCAAGGTCAGGGGCAAGAATGCCTGGGAATAAATCCTACCCTAGGGTAGGAAATCAGTGCAGAGCCAGGAAGCCAGGCCTCAGAGGAGCAGAGCAGCCCGGGGAGATCAACTGTACTGGGGAGGGAGCACCCCTCCTTAAGCCTGTAGTCAAAGCTGGAGTCACAAAGCCCACCGTCTTCTTTCCACTGTTTCCTTGGAAGGCCTTGGGAGTTCTGTAAGCTCCACCAAAGAGACAAATATGAGAAGGGATTCCAATCCACCCTCAACGATTTCAGACGTGCGGTTTTTCTAACCGGGTCAAGGGCTTCTCCTCTTATAGACATTAATCAAGAAGGCCCCAGAGATGGGAGGAGGAGGTGCTGGAGAGCCAAGGGAATTCCTCCCAGAAGTCGACCTCTTTCCCGGAGCAGCACAATGTTGCCTGGGAATTCTACAGACAGAGGATCCAGTTCCAGTACCACACCCAAATTGGTGGCCATTCCTCTCAGGACCAATATGCAAGTAACTACTCCTGCTTTAATAATAATAAGCATGGGGTCTTCCCTGAGCCTCAGCAGACACCCGTCAAGTGCTTCACCCAGGGCATACTGAATCCTCACAGACAACCACCAACCCTAAAGCGCCAGGAGTTAGCAAGGAGGGTGTCAACTGGACCACAGGTCCTTGTGGGCTCCTGATGACCCCCCTGACATCCCCAAATGTAGTGCACAGGCGTTCCCAGAGCCCCAGCTCAACAGGACAAGCTGCTCCCCTTTGGCCACCTGCTCCCCTTTGGCCCCTCTTTTAACTGTTCCACCAGCTGGGTGGGAGCCGCTCCCAGCAGTCCCCACCCTGGTTACACTTCCTCAGTAACCAAAGCACAAAACAACCCAGTCCCTGCTCAGATGAGCCCGAAGTCAGGGAGCACAGAGCTGGAGAGGGGCTGGGACCTCACTTCCCAGGGAGCAAGAGGCTGTTCCCAATCACTGGGGAGGGAAGCCTGTGGTGTTGTCTGAGGGCCAGTTGTGTGGGTGCTGTGGGATCCCCAGGGTTTCTGCATTTCCTTCCGGGTGGGGGTTTCAGCACTGTTTGGGGTGAGATTAAACAGGAGCAAGGTCCAGGCTTCGACCCCAGGTTGCTAATATCACCAAAAAGCACAACCCACACACGGGGAAACCCACTTCTACTTTGTGGGGTGATGTATCACACTGGAGATGGAGATACCTGTGTAGTGTCTGAAATGGACCAAATAGGAAAAAACAAAAATGTCACCCCAAGAGAAGTCATTCCGCTTACCCCCTGCCTCCAACAAGGGCCACACTTTCTTAGAGCTCCTGAACGAGGACAGGGGACCGGTGACCGTGTTTTGGAACCTCTAAGCCACCCCAGTGTTCCTTAAACCACCCTGAACTGCCGCAACTGCAGGGCTCCCTCCCACCTCTGCTTGGCAACATGCTCTAAACAAACCCTTCCATGTGAAGAGAGCATCCTTTTGACATTCATGGGGCATTCTACTTTTAAATAAGTAAGTAAGTAAGTAAATAAATAAATAAGGCCCATTTCCTCCTGCCAAATCCTGGGTGTGAGCTAAGTGCAAAGTTAAAATTAAACTGAAAATTTGTATGTTGGGCTTAGACAATCTCCCGATTCCACCGGCCATTTAAAAATATCCAAATGTGGCTACTCTCTCTCTAGTCCATCAACTGGGATGCTGCTGCTTGTATCTGGAGCTCTTCAAACACCCCAACAAACAAAGCTACATGGGACCCTATGCTTCATGCCTCAAGTACCAACACCCCATACTCCTCCCCAAAGAGACGTGCCTGGGGCACTGAGAAGTTCCCTAGAAATCAGACTGTCCAGCTCTGGTATTTCCTGAAAAACCTGTCCCTAAAGCAAGAATACAACGGCCACTTCTCACCGCTGGGAGCTGAAAGGTCCATGACCAGCACGAACACAGCATTGCTCTGAGGAACAACCCAGTGGTTGTTTCTAAACTGGAGCTCCAATTTGACCACCCCTGTGCTCCCAACACTGCAGCCCTGGTCACAGTCATGTAAGTCACTCCAAGCCTGCTCTGCTTCCAGACGGGGCCTCTGTGACAGTGGGGACATTGGACTACTGGGAATAGGCCTCGAGTGGAGGCCAAGGACCCGGCTGGCTGGCTGAACCCTGACTCTGTCCCCGAGATCCTAGGCTCTGTCTCTGCAGAAAGGGGATGATATCTGTTTAACCTATAAAATGTAAACTCCAGCCTAGAAAACATTCCTGGCTTCTGGCCACCGCCTGGGGGGAGGAGGGTTCAAGTTCCTAAACTGACCTAAGAGGCCCTCCACTGAATCTCCCCCCACTCCCTCCAATCTCGTTGCTCCCTGTCTCATCCTTGCACAAGGCTGCCCTCCCCAGGAGGCCTTTCCCGCACCCCGCTCTGCGCATCCCAGGGCACCAAGGGCAGCTGCTGCATGAATCATTTAATCATGTATTAAGCATCCGATCCGCATAGAGGTCAGGGACTGTCCTTCTCCATAATCAGCCTAGCGGGGAGTGAACACCAAAGCAACTGCTTAACAAATGTCCAGTCTGTTGTGCCAGGCACAACCTAGGCACAGGGCATACAGAGTAATTCAAACCATCATGAAATTTACAATGTAACTTGTCCAAGACAAGCTGAAAGAGCCCTACCTTCTATAAAGAGCAGCGGCAATGTTTTTCGGTGTGCCTTGTACCCCCTAGACAAGCATAAGCTGCGAGGAGGCAGGCAAACTGTGCACACGCCTGACCCAACCCAATGCTCTGCCTGCCCATTAGAAACCCCTCTCTCCAGATAGGGTGTCCCCGTGACGTTGTTCACCTGGGCCAATGCTGAGGGGACACAGAGGCAGGCGACAGTGAGCAGGAGGTACAGTGACTGGCTAGGAGGAGACGAACAGCTGGTAAACAACAGTCCGGTGTACCAGCTAGTAGGCCTGAGGCTGAAACCACATTTTTCAAATGCCTCCACCCCAGAGATGACGGGCATACTGAGGACCTAGAAAGACCAAGAAAGGTGACACACTCCACATCAAAGCCAGGACTGGCCATATACTTTGTAGGGCCCAGTGAAAATGAAAATGTGAGACCCCTTCCTCAAAAATCATTAAGAATTCCAAGACAGGGAGAACAGCGCATGAAACCCAAGACCAGGGCCCTTCTAAGCACGGGGCCCTGTGGGACTGTGCAGGTCACATGCCCATGAAGCTGGCCCTGATTTAAATGGACAGCTTGGGCCTCAAACAGAGCCCTCTGAAGGCCAGAATCGGAGAGAAGGAAGCTGACTGAGAACTGCTCTTTCTTTTTCCAGCACTTCCTGAGGCAAGGTGGGGAGGTGGACAGAAGGCAGTCTCTGGAGTCCAGATAGACCTGGCTCAGGTCCACTCTCCACTTGCTTGCTCATCTCACCTCTCCCAAGCTCCCTGCAAAATGACAAGAGTGCCTGTCACCTAGGGCTGGGTTAAATGAAATAATACTTAGAGCAGCCCCCGCTGTGGAAAAAGCCACTTTCCTTCTTGATCCATACTCACCTTTACTGCTGTGTCCCGTCAAGGCACAACAATAAGAACAAAGGCAGGCCAGCAGACCCATTACCTCGGCTGTCTGCTCGTGGAACATACGAGGCCTCTCGACATTTTGGAGAACTAAGATGGTGCACCCAAAACACACCCTCTCGATTTTACATCCACACCTTGTTTTGATTTTTCCCCTCCGCTAACCTCAACCCTTGGTTTTCTTTTTCCACTGAACAAGACTTCAATAAATATGTGTAGCTTTGGTTTCGACCTTGTCAGTCCCTGACCAATTTAGTTTTCAGGTTCCAGCCTTGCATAGAAAAGAAGACTCAAATCAGATTGACCCCGTGTTTTTTCTTTTTCTCAGTGCTCATGGGTTTTAAATAGGTCAGCTTTTAAATGGGCCATCCCCTGCTGCAGATTTCTAGCTAGAAGGCCAGACTGTTTGAGACTCCAAAGTAGAGGGGAAATGGGTTTCTTACCAAAGAGGTTCGATTAGAGTGATAAATGCTTGTGATTTTGTCATTTTAACCATAAAATCCAGTTTTGCTTCACAGTCAGTATGACAAAACCTGCAAAAAACAGTGAGGTTCCATGGGGTAAGTCAGGCTCTGGGAGAAAAGTCAGACATTTCGAAAGCCAGAAAGGCCTTTGGGATCATCTAGGTCAGTGGCTTTCTGACCACAACTCAGTAAAAAACACATTTAAACACTGACTCAGTGCACACATTGTTGTGTGCGTACAGACGTACACAATGAAACAAAATTTACCCTGTTAAAATTGCTCTTTACTATTACATTTTAAAAATTTAAATGTGACCCATAGTTTGCAAAATACTGGTCTAGTTTAGCCCTTCTTTTTCCAGAGGAAGCAGCAAGGCCCAGGGTTTGCCGAGAGCCCAGGAACCTGGGGCTGGGCGGTTCTTCTGCCACACCATGTACGCTGCGCTGCTGCTCTGATCAAAATCACAGTCCTCTGTGGAAGACCCTGGAATCAGCCATGTAGCTTTCAGTTTCCGCTAACAGGCGGCTATTCTGCAGCCTCGATGGCAGCTAAGACTCAGGTGTTCACACCTCTTAAAGATCTTCTAAAATCGTAACTAAGGGGCAGGGCCCCACAGTACTTTAAAATAAAATTAAAAAAATCTCTCTTAGAAAAAAAGCATCTTAGTGTCTGGATTTTGTTTCCTACAATAGAGCTCTGGAGGCACGGGTGGGAGCACATGGCCTCAGGAAGCCGGTGACGCCATCCTTATTATTTTAGGGAACCATGAAACACAAGCGAGGCGCTGCAGCAGCGGTAATTAAGCTGTCCGCCGGCAGGGTAATAGGCTGTGCGCCCGCTGGGGGAGGGCTTGCATTAACATAAACCCTGTGACTGGCTCCCTTGCTGCCTGGAACCAGCCTCACCTCCTCCGGAGGGTGTGGGGAGGTCTGAGGGTCCTTCTGCCAAGACAGAGGAGCTGGTTCCACTGCAGATGCTTCCTCCAGCCAGAGGACAGACTCTGGGCAGTAACCACCCCAGGACCAGCCAGGGTGGGTGTAGGATCTGGGCTCTGGGCCTGACCAATGGGCCTGTTTAGCTTGTGAAATTTAGCAAGGCTGGGCCCCTCCCTGATGTTATGCCTCTGCTTTCCTCCCCTAAAACCATTTCTCCCTTTCAGCCAGTAGTCCACTTTAAGGACTTGTCAGTTCCACCTCCCCCAGGAAGCTTTCCTTGATTGCCTAAGCCTGCACTAGCACTGCCTAATTTAAGAGCATGTGAAGGGAAGTCTTCCCAGAGCAAGGGAAAACAGGCCTAGAAGGCAGTTTGGGAGCAGTTCAGAGGGGGAGAGATGAGGCTTTTGGAACTGGTGGATGACATGATCAATTGAAAGGATCTATCAGACTGCATCTTCTAGTTGTCCCTTTGCACCTTCAGTAGGTTCTAGAAGGTCTGAAGAAGTAGGAGTTGGAAGCACAATCCAGTGAAGACACTGGTCCCATCAGGTGGCATGTGAATGTGACCAGAAGGGGGAGAAGAAGCACGGAGGTGTGGTGCAAAGGATACTTGTCAGGCAGTCTGACCTGGACGCTGGTGCCCACTTTGCCACTAACTTGTTTGTGCCCTAAGGGAAGTCATGTCCACCTCCTGGACTTCTATCAGTCCCCTAATCCACGTAATGAACAATGGCACCTGAGCACAGAAATGCAATTCCTTCTGGCTCCAAAATCCCGTAGTACACACACACCCAATCTCAGTCAATGTTCTCCAAAAGTAGGTGGGACATTTCATGGGCTAAAAAAGACCAGAATTCCTCACTAAGGGATGACAGAAAGGAAATCCAGGACACTGGGCAATTATCCTGATAATTACTGAAATGCAAAAATCAATCACGTAGTCTCTTAACACACACTTGGGTCACAAAAAGACTCCCCAGAAGTCTGGGGTGTTAGGTTCCAAATGTGGAAGTCTGGCCTCCTCCCATGTGGTGTGATATCCTCACAAGGCATCAGGGAGCAGGTACCTCAGCTGGTGGGGTCCTATTCCCTGCTCAGAAACGCTGCGGTTCATTAAAAAAAACTCACACCATCCACATTCACACCTCATCAAAGAGCCAGAGCACTGGCCCCATGCAACAGAACGCCATGAGGAGACTGAAGGCCTGGAGAGCAAGGCGGGTAAATACTGGTCAATCTCCCTAAAAGGCTGCTTCGATCATGTCATGTCACGTCCCATCAGTCCCTGTACCAAAGCCTTTACTGGCCATGGGGATCAAGTGTAAATCCAGGAGGATTTCCAGCCCCCCAACCACCAATGCTTCCTGGCCAAATCCAGTGCCTTCTCCAAAGGTAGTCTCTCCCCGCCCCACTCCTCTGCCAGACTCCCTGACCTACAGCAAACCCTGCGACACCACCTGGCATTTCTTCCCCGTGTTACAGTTTACAAAGCGCCTCCCCAGGCATCTTCACATTTACCCTGTCTGTAGACAAGTAGAATTCTACCCATCGTATCCCCTCCAGGGAACTTGTCCCTGTCTACCAGGGCCCTGAGAACGGCTGCTCAGCCACAGGACATCTGGCGGTCTATTCCTGCTGTCTCCTCCAAATACAGCCTTGCTAAGGTCTGAAGTCTGTGTCCCTGGTTCTCTGCCCAGAGGGGCCAGCTTTCAGTAAACACAGGTCACTCAAGCTAGAGGAGGTGAAGGAGTCGGGGTGGGCAAAGGCCGACCCCTTATTTACTTTCTGAAGCAAAATGCCCCACTAATTTCACTCTTTGGCAAGTCAACAACAAAAATTGTAATGACTTCCTGGGCCCTCTGTCCCAATGAAATGATGTGGTTGATTTTGGCTCCTGTAATTAGATTCAAGGATTTAAGCCTGGCTGGGCTGGGACCACTTGTGGACAGCTGCAGAGATGCCACCAGAGTCCTTGGGTCAGCAGGGTCTGAAAAGGGGGCACAGCCCAGGGTCTCTGCCATGGGTGTGGTATGGACCATGACGGCTACCCACTCCCTGTGAGGCCCTGAATGGAAGAACGGCCTGTAAAACAAAATTTAATCCACTTCCTCCGTTTTACTTCTCAGAGATTCATGAGCTGGCAATTCAAAGCCTCTGTCCAGCCCAGCTCACCATCATAATCCATCTAAGAAGACACTACACCATTCAGACTCAGAGGCGGAGACACTTTCTACAGCCATAGCATTAGGCCTCTGCTGGCTTTTTAAAAGTGCTTCAGAGAATTAAGGGACCCCATCATGGCCACTTCTGGAGAACCAGTGGATCTAATCCAGCTTCTCAGGCAAATGAACCAACCTAGTAATTCACCCAAGGTCAAAGTTAGCCCATTGTGAAATCAAACCTTGGGCCAGTCTCGAGTTTCCTAACTTAGGGCCCATACCCCAAAGTCACAGGCCTTCCCACAGTTCCACAGTGAACTCCTTGGAGCCAGAGGAGCCAGAGGAGGAAAGAGAAAATAGCTGTTCAGAGAAGAGCCCCCTGCCTGAACTCAGCTTCCCTCCCTTCCTCCTCACCCCAGTAGGGCTAGAGTGTGTAAGAGGCAGGAAGGCTAAATGGCCTTGGAGATGAAACCCTCAACCTTGGCCTCCCTTTCCTGCCAATCCTACCCAAAACAACAAAAGCATCAGCAGTGACAGAAACAGAGCAAACACTACTGCACTGAAACCCTAGTGTCTGACCACCAATCGGAAACCACTGATTTGGGCAGAAACAAAAAACAATCATGCAGAAGAACCTAAGGCCAGGGCTGAAAGTTCCTTCTATCCAAGGTCACCCGTAAGAAGCAATTTAACCTTCGTTTTTTTCTCCCTTAGAGAAACTGTATGTGCAACTTGCCCAAGTCTGTAAATTAAATGTTTATGGTAAAAGTATTGGGGATGAAAGTATAAGAAGTGCTAAGAAGATGCCCTAGACGGTTTTGCTCAGTGGTCAGAGTATCAGCCTGTGTACTGAAGGGTCACAACTTTGATTCCTAGTTAAGGGCACATATCTGGGTTGCAGGTTCAATCCCCAGCCCTGGTTGGGGTCATGTGGAAGGCAACCAACTGATGTGTCTCTCTCACATTGATGTTTCTTTCTGTTTCTCTTTCTCTCTCTCTCCCTGCCCCTCCCTCTCTCCCGCCCTCCCTAATTTCTACTCTATCTAAAAATCAACAGAAAAAATATCCTCAGCTGAGGGTTAACAACAAAAAGAAGTAAATGTTAGTTCCATATGTCTAGTAACTAACTGGAAGAGGGGAAAATGGAAAGAGAGAAGGAAGGAAGGAAAGAACGGGAAAGCAAGGGGCTGCTGGAAGGGGAGCAGGATGAAACACAGGAAGGACAGGGAGAGACAGACAGACCTGAGAAAAGACACAGGCAGTCAACAAGAGGGCAGACAGGAGGAAGTTACAAGGTTTATAGGTTTGCTTTACTTCCAGAGTTCCACCCTCTTCACCTGCATTTTGGTGATAGAACTTTACTTATCTTTACTATTTTTTAAAACAGAGTTGAGTTCTTTGTTGTTCACAGACCTACAGCTGCTTTAATCTCAAATTCTAAAAAACAAAAGCTTTATAATCTTTGTCATTCCTGAAGAGTCCGGAAGGGGCTAGACTACTAGAGATGATGTAATAAAGAATCTAACGATTAGTCTTCACCAGAAGCTCCTCAAGGAGGTCCCTGCCAAGGTGGTCAACACAGGCAAGGCCATCCCGGGCTGAGTTGACAGAAACAAGTGGGATAGCCAAGGTTCCTTGGTCAGGGTCCCAAAACACTGTACTCCATGGGACCAAATCTCAGTTCTGAACCTCGAAGCAGAACAAACTTGAGAAAGGCGACCAGAGTGGGAAGGCATCTGAACACTGACACTGGAAGAGCAATGGAAGGGATGAGACATATTTAGGCTGGAGGGTGGGGAAGACTCACGATCTCTATCTTTCTCCAACTATTTGAGGGAGTGTCATATGCAAACAGAAATTCTGTGTTC